ATATATATATATGGTATAAGCTAGAACCGCCCTCTTCCACTAAATAGGCCAAGTAATTGATCAAAAGTATTCCCTAACCATGCCATATTGCTCGGGTAACATTGAACTTCTTGTTGGAATATCGCTGGACCTGGAATCTACTTCATTAAATACTCTGTCAGTTCACTTGACTTCACAGTGGAGCAACAGAATAGTTCCAGATAGGGGGCCGCAGTCGGGTCACCCCATCGTGTGATTGACTAGTGTGGTTTGGGGATGCTAGATCGAACTTCAAATTGGGAGTTCATGTCATCTCTTAATTAGGTACAGAACAGGTAGCAGTTGCGTCAACATTGCAGCGCAGAATGCGACAGTACATACTCGTCCCAGTCACTGGGTGGAAATTGGTGCAATAAACAATGTTTCTAGGACTAAGCAATGAGGCAGTTCGGTAGTATCAGTGAAAGAGGCAGGCTGTGATCAAATCCAGCACGCAAGACTTGTTGAACTTAACCTCCAAATGACCACTGTGATAGACGTGCTCCCAGTGAAGCAAGAGAGAAAGCGAAGATCGAGCATCATAGTCAGACTGACAACCCAGAGATTGGAGCCGCTTCACTCTGATTCCGTACACAAAACAGTGGAAACCGGAATCAGTAAAGTGGATACGATTGTTTTCGTGGCTCAATAACAGTGGCTTTGATGCTATTCCAGCTTCCTGCCACTTGGAGACTGACGTTATCTGTTAATCAAATGAACAAGCCCCGCATGGTGCCAGGGATACCGCCTGAATGAAATTCCCTCGAGGAATATGAAAAATAGTTCCTACCGATAGAATATTCGCCCCTCGAGAAAATTGACGCGGTCAGACAAATTAATTCAATCAAGAGTTCACCTAAAAAGCATCAGGATTACTCATTCCTGTCTGCAAGTTATTCGACAGCTTCATACAAAGTTTGAGCTCAACCATATTACGGTTTGGGGGTCCGTAGTTCGAACCCGGCCTCTGCATCCCGACTCCCCCTGTCTAGGCTTCGGCAACCTGGCAGTATCTCAGCCCTCGTGCTTTCTTCGAGTGGAATGGCAACTAAGCACCGAAAGGGTATTACAGCTGAACGATTTTTTCATGTTATGTTTTCCAATCCCACCGACGTATCCCTAGAATCGGCTTTGGGTGTCACACAAACTTTGCTAGTTCTGCTCCGTATCTCGGTCCCCACCCAGAATTCTGCAGCAAAGTATTCCCAACTAATGAGATTTTATTTTTCTCGTCTCATTCACTGAAATCTTGTATTCAGCCTTACCAATAACCGAAGAAACGACAAATCACTATTTGGTCAACCAAATAGCGATGACGGATTCAGCTGTGACGCAGCACCCACGGTGTTGATAACCCAACCAATGATAGGTCGTCATGATGTCATAATCCTTTGTTCTGTTTTTTTCCACCACACTATTGTCAACCTGTTGAGCCCGCTCTGGTGCCCCCAACGCTCAGACCAGTGGTTTTCAAACACCTCGAAACGACTGTTTTATGGAGTTAGCCCACAGCCAGGGCATCAGATAACGATCATATCTCTAGGTGTATTCAAATTCATTTCACACTCCTGCTGTCCTAGTGCAGTTTTTCTGCTAATTCTACGCCAAGCTGGGGAAGCGCTGGAATCAAGAATATCCTAGGTCGTGTTGCCATTTGAACTCCGGATGGTTAATGTGCAAGGCAAGCTTACTACCACTACTCCGCCAGCACACGTTGGACGCACATATGTTATCACAGGAGGATGTATTCTTGCTTGCGCAATGTGGTTATCTTGCCCGACACCATTCATTGGTTCTTCTATACGGTCCTACCGATCACCGTCAAAGGTTCGCACAAACAAATCGCTTGGTGGGGAGGGGCACAGCTGATCTATGCGTAAATGAATGGTATAGGGTGTAGATATTAATGGAGTGTTTTGGGTTTGAAAATTGCTAGATGCGAATCGTTCAGCTGTAGCACCCTTCCGATGCCTAGCTGCCATGCCACACGAAGGAGACACGAGGGCCGGAATACTGCCAGGTTGCTGAAGTCTAGCCAGGGGAAGTCGAGAGGCAGAGGTCGGGTTCGAACCACGAACCTTCCGGTCAGTAAATTCGCGCTCTAACCACTTGGACCATCTTACTAGGTAATCGTGCGCCGCTCACTTCTGATGATTTCCAACAAGGATGGAACAGCTGACCATGCTCCTCAGATATCCCACGAAAGTTGACTGCACTTGCAAGTTGAAATCTATCTTCGAAACTTGAGAATATCCGCGCCACATACAAAATGAAAAACAGGGACCACAACAACCGAGAAGTTCAGACTGAATGAGTAGCCATCCTCTAATAATACAAGCGGTCTCAATGTCTCGTCGGCATGTATCCATCGGGTGGCAAACTACCGCGGTTTGTCATGGTTTGTCATGCCAAAGCGCGTTCGTCCAACACAGTGCGACTATCACAATAGCAACAGCACACGTTGATGAAAATTCACTGAGTGACAGTGGTCAAGAAAGAACCCCTCCGCGTACACGTCAAAGAACAAGTTCAAGTGGCAAATCGATTCACATTTCTGTGTATTTTCAGCATAGAAGATACAGACAAACACAGCGAGCGAGAGAGCGATGAACATACAAACATGTTGAACACATCTTGATGTGCTATTGATGTGTCCATTCCGGAACACTATGGTACGCGTATCACAGCCGCTAGAAGCAAGTTAGTGACTCACATTGATTGGATAGAGCTGTACTCGCACATTCAATAGAGTAGCGAGTAGGAAAGTGGTCAAACACATAGCCACACAAACCGGGAGTCACTAGAAAGAGAGACCGACTACATTAGAAGTGATCGGAAATTCACGTGATGGATGATGGAGAAAACCAAGAGTAGACCATTGAATGAGTCGTTTGTGCCCGTGTCAAAACGGAAGTGAAGAAGCCCGATAGACTAAAAGCCGGTATGACATAACAACGAGCGAGTAACGTGATATTTGGCAGTGGAATGGGCACAGTTGCCTAAGAAAGAAACGACTGCTCAAGATATGAGGGACATGGAATGAAAAGACAAGTCATTCATTCATGAGAGGATAGGAGTTGAGTATCTTTGTATGGAGGCCATGTACAGCTGACGGCTCAAACGAANAGAATGGTGGGGATGGCAGATCCGCAGTAGATAAGCTTCATACAAGTCGGAGGAGGCTTCACTCCCTATTTGTTTCGTAAATCAGTGAGAATGTGAGGCAGAAAGAAGTGGAATTTGAGGACAAGATCGACAATGAGTGATCACGCGCCGCGTATGGGACTGAAAATTGGTCGGTTGTCAGATTCTAGCAACCACAACTGCTTTGACGACCGCCTTCTCCACTGCCGGTTCCTCCCAGTTCGACGGCAGTTCTTACGTTGCCCGAGCCGATTGAACCCTTGCTTAGGATACCTCCTTCGGCACTGTTGAGGTTGACGCTAGATGCAAAGGGCAAGAAAAGAAAAATTAAACCAGGGTATCCAAGAATATGAAAGGAAAGACAAAACGAACGTCCATATCTATAATGGCTTAGCGTACACTCGTCGTCCAGGCGGATAGGGAATTTTCACATGTGCGCCGGCGCAGAATCCTATAGATGAAACAACACACAAGCACGATTTTACATGCTCACGAGGAGTTTAACCACAGTCAACCTCCATTCGGATTCACTCGCTGAATGACGACGGGACCGGTCCCGTGATCCTTGGAGTAGCATTTATAACCAGCGACCAGCACTGGATAGCGGGTATAATCCACGGGTCTGGAAGGGCAACCACTAGTCATACACAGAGGACATCAACGTTGGCTTCAGCTACTCCCTTTCAATTGAATAAGCTGACTTCACGAAGCAATCCCCAGCGGACCACTTGGCCAGATGAAGATAGCCAAGAAATTCACACAGTCGACAATAGGTGTGCTAAATGAGAAGCGATAAAGTGAGCGATCGATGGTAGTAACGAATTATTAGGATTGCACTTCAGGTAAGAAAAAAGAATGCTGAAGCATCTGTTAAGGAGAAGCAAACAAAACGGTGCCTTGGAGAGAAAGGTGGGTCTCAGCTTGCTTGATTAGTGACGAATAACGGACGAGGTTCTGATTGGCACTCAATTGTATTCGTAGTTACGGGTATACCAGACACACCAAATGGCTTTCTGGTGTCTGGGGGGAACAGCTATAACATTGACTGGCCCGCACGGGTCAGCGAAATCCGTGCTTGTCACACTTTAGTCAAGAGCTCCAAATAAAGTCCTCAAGTCAACTCTATTCTTCAACGTGGACATGATATTACACAACCGTGTATAAAGCGTAGTTACGCTTTCTCACTCCAACCACCGGTTACAAATGAAGGCCGATAAAGTTTAATCTCACCGAACGACGCGTTATTGCCTTTCTTACAACTTTCCTGAACTTTACCACTGGTGCTGCCACAGTTCCGTTTTGTTACTTCAACACAGCATCCATCGCACGTTCAACGGCAATTATCACCCAGTTTGAACGAACACAAACAGGGGAGTCCAACA